TGTCACATGTATTATTACATGTCAAAGTCTAGACCCTGAATATAAGACGACCGCATTTTTTCAGATGTATTTTCAAGAAAAAAACATTGTTTTATATACAGGTAAATACGGTACTTATACTTTAGAAGACAAAGTATTTTTTCACAAATAAATAAATATTTAACAAAAATCTAATTAAAAAGGAAGTAAACCCTGTAACCAACAGGGCACTCAGTATTTTGGAAGTTGCGGAGGCATCCCTTGTTCCCCTTAGAGAACAGGGCATTTGCATTCTCAACTACCTCGACGACTGGCTCATATTACCTCAGGATCAGTTGTGCGAACACAGGAAATTGGTGCTCTCGCACCTCAGCCAGTTGGGCCTTCGGGTCAACTGGGAAAAGAGCAAACTCTCCCTGACGCAGAGGATCCCTTTTCTCGGTATGGAGTTGGACTCGGTCGAACAGACAGCACGCCTCACGCAGGAACGTGCTCAGTCGGTGTTGATCTGCTTGAATACATTCAAGAGCAGGATGGCGGTCCCACTGAAAAAATTTTAAAGGCTCCTGGGAGACCGTTTCAGCACTGGCTCCATGGCAGAGTCCCGAGGTGGGCATGGCAACGCGGCACTCACCGGGTCCAAGTTACACTGGCCTGCCGCCAAACCTTCACCCGTGGTCAGACCTTGCGTTTCTCCAGGCAGGAGTGCCCCTAGACCAGGTCTCCAGGCATGCTGTGGTTTCTACGGATGCCTCAACCACCGGCTGGGGGGCCACGTACAACGGGTTTGCAGTGTCAGGGGTTTGGACGGGGCCCAAACTGCACTGGCACATCAACTGCCTCAAGTTGCTGGCAGTGCACCTTGCCTTGATCCGTCTCAAAGGGCGCTTACGAGGCAAGCATATACTAGTCCGCACGGACAACACTGCGACCATTGCGTTCATCAACCGACAAGGTGGTCTGCGTTCCTGTCGCATGTCACAACTCGCTCGCCACCTCCTCCTTTGGAGTCAGAAGCATCTGAGGTCGCTTCGTGCTGTTCACATTCCTGAGGCTGCTCAACCAGTCAGCCGACGAGCTGTCTTGAGCTGTGCTCCCGGGAGAATGGCGACTCCATCCCCAGACGGTCCAGCTGATTTGGAGACGTTTCAGAGCCACTCAGGTAGACCTGTTTGCCTCTCCAGAAACCTCTCACTGCCAGTTGTTCTACTCTCTGACCGAGGGAACACTCGGCTTGGATGCACTGGGCCTTCGCAAGTATGTGTTTCCCCCAGTGAGCCTTCTTGCACAGACACCTTCTTGGTACCCACGTCCAGACCTCTGGAAACTTCATGTCTGGTCCCTGCGGAGGTTCTAGGTGACCTACCCCAAGAGGTAGTTGACACCATCACTTCAGCGAGAGCACCGTCTACGAGACACGCTTACGCTTTGAAGTGGAACCTGTTTGTTAAGAGGTGTTCTTCTCGCCGAGAAGACCCCCGAAGATGCCCGATCAGAGTCGTGCTGTCTTTTTTGCAGCAAGGGTTGGAGCGAGGGCTGTCTCCCTCCACCATCAAAGTCTATGTCGCTGCAATCGCTGCTAACCACGACCCCATAGAAGGGAAGCTGCTGGGGAAGCATGACCTGATCATCAGGTTCCTTAGGGGGGCGAGAAGGCTAAATCCTCCACGGCCCCCCTCTATACCCTCTTGGGACCTGACTCTAGTGCTCACAGCACTACAGCAGGGCCCATTTGAGCCTTTGCAGACAGTCGAGCTGAAGTTTCTGTCAATGAAAACTCTGCTCCTGCTTGCACTGGCCTCCATCAAGAGGGTAGGGGACCTGCACGCATTTTCGGTCGATGATTCATGCCTAGAGTTCGGGCCGGCGACTCCCAGGTAACCCTGAGGCCCCGGCCCGGCTATGTGCCCAAGGTTCTCACTACTCCCTTCAGGGATCAGGGGGTGAGCCTGCAAGTGCTGCCCCCGGAGGAGGCAGACCCAGCCCTAGCTTTACTCTGTCCTGTCCGAGCCTTAAGGTGCTAAGTAGACCGGACACAAAGCTCAGGACCTCAGACCAGCTCTTTGTCTGTCACGGAGGCCGGCAGAATTGAATGCCATCTCTAAGCAGAGGATGGCCCACTGGATAGTGGATGCCATCACCCTGGCTTATCAGGCACAGGGTGTGCCCTGCCCATTCAGGTTGTGTGCTCACTCAACTAGAAGTGTTGCATCCTCCTGGGCACTGGTGCGTGGCGTCTCGCTGTCAGATATCTGTAGAGCTGCGGGCTGGGCGATCCCTAACACGTTCGCTAGTTTCTATAGCCTTCGTGCAGAGCCGGTATCCTCCTGTGTTCTCACCTCAAACTTGTAGACGCTCCAGAGAGTCCATATAGTAGACCCTGTTGAGCTCCTCCGTCCCCTCGACAACCAGATGTGGTGGAGCATCCGGCGCCAGGCCCTCTCTCGATGAATCTGTGAGATTCCATGTGTAGAGACCTAAGTGTATCCCATATGTGTAAAGTCCACGGTATGGCCTCTGAGCCTGTGTTTCCCCGGCAGACTTCTGCCATCCCAAGAGGGTTACAATCACCTCCAATCTTCCATATGCACCTAAGGAATGTTCATATGAGTATTTGCTTCCGAAACCTCCTTCGGGAAGGTTGGAGCTTCCGCAACGTCCCTGTCCCAAGTGGAACGGGTATGTTTTCCCAGTGTTATCCAGTCTTACTGATTGGGTAGTGCCATAGCAGCAGTAGCTGGTCCTCTTGTGGTAAGCCCTGGCCTACGCCAAAAAGTAGGGGTGCAGGTGGCTTCCACGGGACACTGGAAGGGGCAGTACCTGTGGCCCTTTGTTAGGCATCCCAATTTGTCGGTCATCCGACGTGACGTCGGGAGTGACTGACTGAAAGGGAACGCCTCGGTTACGTATGGTAACCCTCTCCCCGGAAGGAGGGAACGGAGACGTCACGTCCCTTCGCCACAGCTCCTGTACCACCGCTGAGTGGCCGGGTCACCGGCTCGGCTCCTCAGCGAAAACCTGAATATGCACTGCATCTGCTGCCTACTTATACTCACGCAGTGATCAGCGGCATCTGGATGCAATAATCGCATGCCAATGTGCATTAGCTCGTTTAGTTTAATCTCAAAGTAGATTGGTCTCTCTAAGCGAGATCCCAATTTGTCGGTCATCCGACGTGACGTCTCCGTTCCCTCCTTCAGGGAACAAGGGTTACCATACGTAACTGAAACGTTCATTCATTCTCTTTCTCATCATCTGCCTCTCTTCTTCCTCAAGACACTGGGTCCACAAGGCCTCACGTATGTTTTGTCTCAGTGTTGATTTGAAAGGAATAGCTGAAGGTATATCTCTCTCTGAAGGGATTATTATGTGTTTAAACTCTTGTTGTGAGACATACCAAATCTTCATTATATTTTCACACCTTTACTATGCTCCACTCCGCTACCTGAGGAGAGAGAGAGAGAGCGTGAGAGAGATAAAGTAACACAATAAACCTCTGGTTCTATTCCAGGCAGCTGCTTGAGTTTCTGTTGCTCTTCATTCTGTCACTGTTTCAAAACATGCAAATGAGACTCTCTGAATCAGCACGAAATCTGTTGTTTCACTGTAAAAGAGAGAAAACAAATGAGAAATACAAAAATACAAAAGATTGAAATACTGGGATTGTGTAATTCATCATCTTATATTGGCTTATAATGAGCTGAGGTCGAAACTCTTTCTGTGTAAATTGTGTGTGATATTGTTTAGTTCTCCTGTTCTCTGATTTATCAAGTTTTTGTGAACTTAAATGAAGCTCAAGAAACAAATGTTTTTGTTGGATAAAAATGTCCGCTAAATGACAGATTTCAATTTCAGTGATGACTTGTTGACTTTTTGGGTCATGTTTTGAGAGTTCAAATAAATTGTCCCTGAGCACAAAAAGAGGCCTTTCCACCATCAATGTTATACCCTGACACTCACAAAGAGACACGTAGTCACAAAGCCACTGCAGTGTCATATCCTGTCCAGTAGAGGTGGAAACAGTTGTGCGAATGTGAGCCAGAGGGCTACAAATATAGAGCATGGTGTTAGCAATGTCAAGGTCATAGGTTCGACATAAGTCACTTTGGATAAAAGTAGTGTTGTGATAATACACTCATACACTATATAGATATATCACAATTATTTTTACCACAATAGCATATTCACACTTGGGATCCTTTACTTTAAAGTATGTTTTTAGGACTTTTTATGTATTCATGAGCACATTTACATAATTTTCTGCAGGTTAATTAAAGAAAAAGCATGTTGTAAAAAAAAGCACAAATTGACAATTCTCATTCAAAGACAATTCTCATTCAATTCTCATACACAACCTGCTTGACTTATATACTATATATAATAATAATTATTATTATTATTTTACATTTGTTAAAATATGTCTGTTTTTCAAATAATCTATTTATCAAAGAATCCTGAAAAAAGTATTACAGTTTCCACAAAAATATTAGGAAACACACCCATTTTTATCAACATATTGACAATAATAAGCAACACCAAATCTATATAGGAAGAATTTCTATAAAGAATTTCTGAAGAATCATGCGACACTGAAGACAGGAGTAATGGTTGCTGAAAATTCAGCTTTGCCATCAGGAATAGATTACATTTTAAAAATAGATTAAATTGTAAAACAGTTATTTTAAATTAAAATAATACACCAAATTTTTGAATGATAGTGTACATATAATAACATTTTCTCTTTAAATCTTTGTCTTTATTCTTGCTGAACTCTTCTTGCTATTCACTCAGAACATTTACTTGCTCTCTACACACACTTATACAATTATCTTTCCAAAGACCCTTGGCCTTAATTTAATTTGTTTCTCTGTAAATAACTGCTCTCGTAAAATGAGATAAAACAAAAATCAGGGGACACTTTAAATTATAACTGAAAGCAATTTTCCTTGTAATAACATCTATAGTGTCTCTGAAATTAAATAAACATAGAGTTAAATCTCTTTCTCTTTGTCTCTCCGCAGTGTGTGAAAGCAGGGGCGGAGGTAGCGATCTCGTGCCCAGATTCTCCTCATCCTTGCCCACGTACCTCCCTGTGTCCTGCCAACTGCAGGGTGCAGAGTCATCCTTCTTTCTCTGGGAGGCCACACAGAATGTGATGCGTAACGGGAGTTTGCAGACACGCAGTGAGCCTCTCTTTCTCCACTTGCCCGATGCTGGCCCTGCTCCCCTCTTGTTGGTCAACTGTAGCTATGGCAACCTCACCGCAGAGGCGCCAGTACCACCAGAGCTCCTCCAGGGGGCGCTGCCACGTTCTTTCCATCCCTCTACACACCTCAAACTGGGCTGGAAGGTGAGAGCGCACCTGGTAGGCAGGAGGATAGGAGTCAATCGACCTCAAATCCAGGTTTTGTTTTATCTGGCGGGCCGCAGGTGGGAGGATGTGGATCTTGCCGCGGAACTGCTTCCGTGTATCTGTGTCGTTGGGTTCCGTGATCCAGGGGAAGGCTCTGTATCAACCGCCTGCCGACTGGAGGGAAACATGGGGATCTGTGTAGCCCAGCTTGGCATCCCAACGACCTGGTTCAATGCTCCTCCGCCACGTAGGCGCACACAGGAGCCCGTTCCTGTCACGGTGGAGTTGCACTACTCCATCCTTCCTCCAGAGGACCAGGGGAAAGAGTGTGTAGCGGGTATGGTGCAAGGAAAGGCTGTAGGGCAGGAAGGGGATATGCAGAGGATTGGGACGGTGACTCTCGCCACTGGGGACAACAAAGCACCCAGAAACCGACTTAGACTGGATGGAGACGTTGAGATTCTGGCATCCCCCAGCCCGGTTAAACAGGGACAGACAGTGGGATTTCAAGTACTAATGAATCCTGCTGCCGCCACTGAGCAGTTCACACTGAGGTAAGACAAAGTACATGCACTCACCTGCATAGAGGTTGAACGTCTTGAGCTCATTAATGCATTAATGCATCGATCAGACAATAATTAGTTCTTAATTTCAGTACAATCCACCAAATCTGCTATGGTGTAGGGCTTGTATGACTACTCATTTTTACTTGCCTTGTACTTGTCTTCCAGAAAAGCAGCCAACCTTATGTGAGTGAAATCACAATATGTAGGGATGCACTTGATATTAACATTTTGGACAATATTTTAATTGTCATTATTTTATTATGATGTAATTGTAGGGGTGCACTATTTGACCAAAATCTTATTTCACTATGCAAGTAATTTTATTTCACAATAATGGTATGTTACAATATAAAACTTAGAGCAAAGATGCACATAACAAATAATAGGACAAATTCAATCAAAGAAAGATATAAATAAAATACAGAAATTGAATAATTAAATGTAAAAACATTTAAAGCTGCTGACCAGGAACCAAGAATCCAATAATTATTTTCATGTAATGTGCAATATTAATTTTTTTCTAAATAAATTAAAAGTAAAACAATATTGTCAAAAAAAAAAAGTAAAAAAAAAAAAAGTTTTAAAAGCTAAAAGTGACTTTAGGCATCAAACCATTATAATGTAGTGCATGAAAAAGGGATATTCATATGTTAATGATAGTTTAAAAGTGTTATAAAATTTATTAAGATTAACTTTAAACATAAACATAGGAAATGAGCTTGCATAATTATATATCCAATATCCAATAAAACTGGAGCTGAACTCTGCAGGATGGCGACCCTTCAGGAGCAGAATTGGGCACCTTTGTTCTAAATGAACTCTGAACATTTTAGCTTGCTTACAGCATGTTTATGAACATAAAAGCTGCGTCCGAAAGCTCAGGCAGCAGACTTGTTGGCTCGCTGCCCTATCAGTTTGTTTATTTGTTTGTTTATTTATTGGTATTATTTAGTCATAAAAATTTAACAAATCAATAAAGAAATATCACTATAATATTATATACTATGAGTATTTTATAATAATAATTTTAATTTATATAATAATAATAATTATTATTATTTTAACTAATGGTAAAATTACAATAGTAATATTTGTGTGTTTTTTTTTTTTTGCTAACAAACATTAAGCCATAGATTTTTTATTTTGGCGGAGGAAAATGCAGGGAACTTCTCTTTTAAAATGCTTCTTTTGTTGACAACAGATGTATGAATGACACTCATTACAAGTTTGGGAAGATGATTTGGGCAAGTGTCATTTTCACATGCATGGTATATGCGACTCAGTCTCACAGGACTTGCAGAGATGGAGTTTGTGTGGAGCAGCATTTACTGCAAACCGCTCAGAGACACTGAAAACACTCACAGCTGCTCACAGGACAGAACATCAGATTACATATTTACATAATTTCAATGCCGTCTTTGCAATTTGATAATCGTTCTTTTAAACCATTTCGCATACTTTGGCATTGTTAGAATTAATAAAAAAGTTATCAGCCAACTGATGAGTAACACTGTTTCATATACTTTCCAACTCCAATTTTTTTCCCCTTACTCGCATTTGGTGCTTGGCGACTGTTAATTTTAGGCCCTGTTTACACGCATGGAGCTCCCATTATTCAGTACTAACAATACACACGCATGCAGTTTGGTGATCCTTATAGTCACAGTTCACACATGAACACATTGCTGCTCGCTTACTCTCTGGCAGCTTTTCATTCTGGAGGCCTTGGGGCTTTCCCAGACATATGATAGATTAGACTTATTCATCAGTGCGCAGATAAAGCAGAGCTCCAGACTACCGCCGTACCCGTCCCAGCCAGCTCCGCTCCTCTCTTCTCTATCACTGCTGTTGAGTTTTATAATGAGCAATAATTAGTCTCTGCCATCAGCACATAAGGATCATTAAAATGGATGAAGGAGCAGTACGTTAAGGTTGTTTCAGGGGGTATAAGAACTGAGTCTCTCATATGGTCACTGACAAGATTTTAGGTGGATATTTACATCCGAACACAGTCGTTATTACTGAATTAGGAGGGCAACATGTACTTGTTAAATATAATTGTTTACTACTTAATCTAAGAGACTTTGGTGTGATGCCATCTAAGTGTATTTATGTCTGGGACTGCGATTATCTGCAGGAGAGTCACTATGGAATATGTCTCTCCTATCTCAATTAACTTCCGTCAGCAGAGAGACAGATGCATGCTGGCAGAGGAAGATGCTATTGTTTCTGCTAGTTGAACGATGCTGCGACATCAAAGCCACTCCTGCTGGTGTCGTTTGGCTCTATAAAAGATGTGTGATGTCTTTCATTTCACCACATGCTATCTGTTTAGATGGAAAAAATCTAAATGTTTTCCTCCTACCGATGCTGGGAAAAGTCTCCCAGCCGTTGTTTGTTTGTTTGTCTAGAAATTCACAAATTTCTGCCCTTATTGTTGCCGAGGAGGAGATTGAAATAGCTAAAATAGCTTCATTTGTTCCCTCTAAAATCAAAACAGAGTTTGTGTAGTTGGTATTTTTCCTTGTTTGTGTGTCATACACATGGAAAGACACAGGTCTTTGAAAGCACACCTCTACAGACATTTGAATCAACCTAACAAAGCCAAAACATTTAGAAATGTCTTCTGTCACAGTCTAGACAGTTTAAAGATTCTAGATCAGTGGCCACAAGTTTTTACTTGTGTATATACCTGTAACTTAACAGGAATTCCCCCCCCCCCCCATTGACTAGTTAACATAAGCAGTTCTTAAATGTTAATTATCATTTTGCATTCAATTGGATTTCTACAAATCTAGAAAATAATTGCGATTTTATTGTATTCTGTTTTATTATTTAATTTAATTTAATTTAATTTGTTAAAAACGTCTACACCCAAGGGTTTCAAAGAGGTTTAGACCAACTTTTTTGGTCCACAATCCATTTTCTAAAGTGTAATAACTAACAAATATTTAAAATTAGCAACTAATTTTCTTAAGAATAACAAGTTAAATTTTCAGTCAATATTATTCGAAACTTCAAATCATAGAAATATTTTGTGATCCTTTCTGTATCTCTGGTGACCACCAAATAGAGTTGTGACAATAAGAGTATTATTATTTAAATTAAGATTATTATTTAAATCAAATTATTAATCTAGAAAATAATTGCGATTTTATTGTATTCTGTTTTATTATTTAATTTAATTTAATTTAATTTGTTAAAAACGTCTACACCCAAGGGTTTCAAAGAGGTTTAGACCAACTTTTTTGGTCCACAATCCATTTTCTAAAGTGTAATAACTAACAAATATTAAAATTAGCAACTAATTTTCTTAAGAATAACAAGTTAAATTTTCAGTCAATATTATTCGAAACTTCAAATCATAGAAATATTTTGTGATCCTTTCTGTATCTCTGGTGACCACCAAATAGAGTTGATTAAGATTATTATTTAAATCAAATTATTTAAATTCTCAACTCTGGCCCTCAAGGTCCATTTTCCTGCTGGGTTTACCTCCAGTCGTGATCAAACTCACCTGCCTTTAACTTTCTAGTGATCCCGAAGACCTTGATGAGCTTGTTCAGGTGTGTTTGATTAGGGTTGGAGCTAAACTCTGCAGGAAAGTGGACCTCAAGGGCCAGAGTTGAGAACCCCTGATTTAAATTATTATTTAAATTATTAAATTAAGATTATTATTACCATAAGATTATAATTGACATTTTTCTTATTATTATTATTATTATACTGAGGTACGTAGATGTGATTTGACTAGCTTAATATTTAGATATTTTTTCTCTGGGTTAACATTAGCACCTCTTCTGGCTTGTTTACGGTAAGTCATTACTCCTTGTATTACATCTTATATTGCAACAAGCTGTTAGACAAACTGCATTTTGTTTTGTGCGTCTAGAAGTAAGTTATGAGTTTAAATGAATTAGAACATCTAATTTTGATCACAGTTTTGGAAATAATTCTTCAGTCTGTCCTGTTCTTTCAAGTGTGCCACACAGCTGTCAAACAGTGTTTCAAGAGGAAACATTTACACTTCAGAATGTGATGCTTGGTGAACAAAACACTGTGGATTTCTCAGATGATTTGGCACATTTTTCCAGTTTTAATACTTGTTCTCAAATCAGCAAGCACAACTGTCTACGGCTTTGCATATCTTACTATTTAACAGATTTGTACTGCTTTTACCTAATTTGCAAGGCTACGTTCATTTATTATAAGAACTTCAGCTTGAGAGTAGAAAGAAACCAAACAATACATGGTAACACTTTACAATAAGGTTCATTAGTTTAGTTAACTACTTTAGTTAAAATGAACTAAGAATAAACAATATTTCTACAGCATTTATTAAACTTAGTTGATGTTAATTTCAACATTTACTATGCATTATTGAAATCAAAAGTTGTGCTTTTTAACATTAGTTAATGCACAGTAAATTAGCATGAACTAACAATGAACGACTGTTGACTGTTCATTAACTAACATTAACAAAGATTATTAAATACTTTAAGAAATGTGTAGTTCATTGTTTGTTCATGTTAGTTAATACATTAACTAACATTAGCTTATGGAACCTTATTGTAAAGTGTTACCCAATACATTAACCACAAAAAAAAAAACTAAAATAAAAAAGAAAATATCTTCTTTTTCTTTGAAATAAATGAATACTTTCAGCATGAGGATGAAGGATGAATTAAATTAATCAAAAGTGACAGCTAAGACATTTATAATTTTACAAAATATTTCTTTTTAATTACTGTTTTACAGTAGTACTGTATTATTTACTGTATTGTTTATCAAATAAATGCAGCCTTGGTGAGCATAAAATAGCATAGTATATTGGTAACACTATACAATATAGTCTCATTTGTTAATATTAGGGTACATTCTTATAGGGTTTGGTCAAGTTAGTTCACGGTGCTTTAGCTAATGTTACCAGATGCAAATGTTGATTTTAAAAATGTTTTTAAAAATGTTGAAATTAATATTTACTGATA